ATGACCCACAGTGAAAATCGCGCCCAAAACTGCATGGACTGACTGTTACTTCATAACAAAGAAGCGTTGTGAGCCATTTTGCTTTATTCCATCATTTTCTCAAGCCAAAAAAATAATGAGTCTTTGGCTCCATTGCAAATGATGGAAAACTAAAGCTATTCTTATTAGTTTATGGAAGTAATAACATTTTTGAAATTACAAGACCTCAAAGTGCTTACCGTGCTTACATAACTCAACTGTCCATCTATTCAAGTTAACTTTCCTCATTTTTGTCTTTTTACAAGAAGATGGGCCATGGTGGGACCCTTTCTTGGACCCTCGCCTTGTGGGGATGCCAGTGCACCGGGCTGCCCTTATTTACAAGAAGACTGACCAAATAGTCTATTAAACGTTACTACTTCAGTTTTCAATATGGAACCTTCTTTTTTTAGATAGAGATAAAATATGTGAAAACGGCAGCAATGGTTTTTGCGGTATTGATTGATGCTATTTCAGCTAATCAGAGAGCTGAAGAAAGGACGTGCTTTCGACGGATGGTCTGAAGGTATTTTAAATTTTCCACCGACATACAAATATGAAATGAACTCTGACAAGTACCACGGAGAGGATCCAAAACCTGGGAGGCGTACTCCAGCATGGCAAGTATTTTTTACGTGTCAGAATTAGTAAATAAACACATATGTGTGTTCCTCATTGGCCTTGGGGTGGTAGTGCAGTTATTTCATAAAAACTGTTGCTTAATGATGATCAGGTGTGACCGTATTCTTTCATCTGGGAAGGGAATGCGCCTCCTGAGCTACAGGAGGTGCGAAATAAGACTGTCTGACCACAGGCCGGTGACAGCAACTTATGTGGTAGAGGTCGAAGTTTTCTCATCCAGGAAGTTGCAACGGGCCCTCACTTACACTGATGCAGAGCTTCAAAACGAGGAAGTAGTGATGGATGTTGGAATTGAGAACATAAGAGCTGATTGATATCATAAAAGGAATTATTGTCAGCATTCTTTATCCCAACTGTATTGGTTCTGACCTGAAGCAGTCTTGATTTGGTTTGGTGACTAAATGGTGAGGAAGGGTGCTTTGTCATGGGAGAGCCGGAGAGGATGACTATAGGGAAAAGATATCAGAAACTTGAGGGTCGACATGCTATAGATGGGTTAATGCCGTATTTGCTATTATGGTATAGGTTTTCTCTTTGTTGTGCATTATTTTTCTGAGCTCGATCACAATACATAGTTTGATTCAACAATGGCATTACTTACTAACATAAATGTCCATCATGATCACCATCATACATTCTTACCATAACAGAGAAGCTCTACAAATCCTTGTATTGCATACCATTGTGACAAAAGTCTTATATACATTCACACAAATTACAAGGCCTTCACACATTTGGCCAATTTCTGGACAATAACGAAGCAAATAGACGGAAGTAGTAAGTAAAAGTTGTTTCTTCAACGCCAAGGCATCAGAACTTGAAGGATTACTTAATGCACCCCAAATTTGAAATTATCCTTTTCTGTTTTTACTTCATTGAAGGTGAGTATTGACAACCTGATTAAGTTATTGCTGTGTGACTGAGAGGGCACAGATTCAAGTCGGTCTCTTATCAAAATTACAAGGGAAGACTTGCAACTTTTTATATCATTTGATCAAAGTGATAATACAAGTTTTTTTTATTAAATGGAACTGCAACTCTTCACTCATTTTTAAGAATCCAGTTTTCATAATAAAAGCAATGGAAATATATTTAAGAACTGGTCTATATGACTATATCTAGCAATTACTCCCTTCGTCCATAAAATAATTCCCGCATTGACTTGGATTGGAGTTTAAGAAAGTGAGAATAAAGTGAAAATGTATGGTTGTGATTGAGTAAGAAAAAAGTAAATGAATGTGAGCCACACAAATCTTTCCAAAAAAGGAAATGAGAACTATTTTTTGGGACAGCCCAAAAAGGAATCCGGGAACTATTTTGCGGGACGGAGGGAGTAGAATTTAGAACCATCTCTTCCCATATTTCAAAACAAATTCTTTCTGTCTTCTGGAGTAACTAATCCAAGATGCAGATGAGCTCTTCCATAAAAATTCTTTGAATTGCACAAATCCCCTAGTAGTTTATGGACACATGCATGCGCATTCTTGGCTTCTTGCACAATACTTAAAAGGAGAACAAACCTTATATTGGCAAGTAAAAAGGTTATGGATGGTTCTTGCTGAGTAATAATCATCTCACAACTTGTTTTATAAACAATAAATCATGGCTTCATGAGTTTTGTTCCCATTTATTCAATTGAATATATGTCCCTTCAACAATTGGGTGCTCGGGTATCGGCTTTACCAGAATACCCTCAATGGCTTACCACCCTCTTTGCACCATCCCGTCTCAGCAGGTCCGGTCCTGACATTTTATGGGCCCGTGACAATACAAATAGGCTGAGCCTTAGGGATAGCGCGGGAATGTTTATAATGTTCTTTTTGCTATAAAAATCTACTAGTATAATTTAAAATCATACAATATTACCGTCAAAATACTAGTATAACACAGAAAAAAAACCAACAAAGCATATGGTTAAAAAATATATATAGAGGGTATTGAATCTATTGATAAGTGACATTCGATGATACAATGTACCTAACAGCCGAGTGAAACAAGTATTGCAACTATATGTTAGGCACAATAAAAATTTTGAATTAAAGAAAGTTGTGAAAGTTATATCTTGTATAAGGAGTAACTATTTCATATTTTAAATCACAATTTCACTAGACAAAAACAAATTCTAAGCTTCTAAATTATGGACACTAAAGTTCAATCTTTCACTAAAGAGAGAATTGGAGGAAATTTGTGAAATACATCAATGAATTCTGGATATACATTAGACATGTACACTAAGTCACTAAAAGATTGTATTTAATGTAATAATCCGTAATGATTCAAAAGAAATGGTGAAATATGTTCCCAACGAATTCTAATGTGGATGTTTCTAAATTATAGACTTGTATCGTGTAGATGGTAAATAACAAATTAGAAGTATCTAAAAATATATGTTTGATTTTTTTTATATAGATTTAGGATGTATATATAATTAAAATATTTATGTACACACACATATATGTTTGAGAAATTTATGGGCCCTACTGGAGCAAAGGGTCCTGGGCGCATGCCCCTCCTGCCCATGCCCCAGGACCGGCCCTGCGTCTCAGTGTCTCCTATGGTTAATAAGGACGAAACACCCCTTGTGTTTGATTTTTGTAATTACTCCCTCCATCCCAATTTAAGCCTCTCACTCGAATTTTATGGATGTCCCAACTAAAAGTTCCTATTCATATTAATCATCAAACATTAAAAATAATACACCTACATCAAAGTTATTTACTTATTGTCTAAATAACCTTGTCATTTTTCAACGAGAAGCTAAAACTGAAGAAAAAAAGGTAGTACTTTTATCTTTTGATAATTCTAAAGTTTTTTTTCCTGATGGATGAATGAAGAGAGCCATATATTGCCTAGTGCCTAACTTTGTGAATTTAAGGATAACATAAGATGGAAGGCATACAGGAAGAAAAATAGGTCAGTGAAGGTAAAATACTTTCATAATTAGTTCACATGTACATGTTGTTAGAAAATACGCACTCTCACACTCACACTCACACTCAAGATGGCCCAAAGCCAATACAATTTACAACAAACATATAAAAGAATTCCCGTGTAAGAGCTACTAGTACCCCTCAAGTAGGAGTGTGTGATGGTAAAGCACCCAACTCAAAAAGATAAAAATCAAATCTTTCCGTCTCAAATCCTTAGTCAAATAATACGCATGTTGAGCCCAAGCAGTATAATCACATCTACGAATAAATCGTGAAAGATTTTTTAGACACAAAGTGATGACCTAGCTACTTTAATGTATTTTGTTCATTCATGAAAGACAAAATTAGGAACAATGATCATTTAACTGAACTATTACAATCAAAGAATATATTTTGATGAAGACAAGGATGTAAAAACGAGGGTACCCCCCTTAGGCCTTAGCTACTTGAGTTTACATGTATAGGCAATCATAGCGTGATACCCAGGCTTCTACCGATGAACTTCAACTATATATTTTTTCATTGTTGGAGGTATTAGTCCTACAAAAGGCCTCCCGTTCACTCATTACGTTAAAGCCGGCACCTTAAATTTAGTCCTCTCATTTTCTCTTGTGACTTTGTCTATTACCTAACTTAATTACTTGGACTGTTGTCTCACTTATTATCTGACCTATATATGGTTTTGCCTTTGTGTTCTCTCCGTTGCCTTCATGAGTTGGGCATTCTCTATTATATCTTTGAGTGTCACTTCCTTGCTTGATATGTCCCTATTATATCTTTGAGAGTTAGAACATCAGGCTCCATTCTTAGTGAGAGCTTGGAAAAGTGAGTGATGGCTAAACTTGGTGAGTGGTGGAGCGACTAAACTCTTAAATAGTGTGTGTGAGCCACTTAGATAAATTGAAGACTTGAGATGAAACATACACCCAACAATTATCTTCCAAAAATATATGAAGGTGGGACAAGCAACCTAGTTAGAGACTTAGAGTAACGCCACTCTCAAGCCAAAGTCACCCCGTGTCATCAAGAAGACCATGATGTTCACTCAAGGGTCGAAACCCAAAAGGTCTAGTGTGTGGGAAACATATTTGTGGAATTACTATACACTCCACTTCAAGTGTGAGAAAAAAACATCAATTCACTCCTATGAAAGTATTTGGATAAATTAATCACTCTTTAAATTTAAAATTACATGCTAGTTACTCCATATCTCCTAGTATAACCACAATGTCTACATAGAAACTGTTATGCAAGTAGATGAAATTTCTATGCCATGAACAAAAAATAGTTTAAACGAGCTTATAGAAAACCGTAGTAATTCAGTGATATTTGGTTGACATAATTTTCTAAAAAGGTTACAAATCGAACACATTTGTTCATACTTGTGGGAGTTGTGGCCAAGAAGGGACTTTCATGGTCAACATGCTCTCCAGAATGAGTTAGAATGAAAATTAGGCATTTTCATATACACCTATTCATTCAGGTCATCATGTGTGGAAGAATACACACGGCTCATCCATCTTATGCAATGCCTCAAAGCTAAAATGTAGCTTACCTTTTCGAATGCCTATCATTATCCAACTCAAGGTATAATGATTATTTATTTGATAAAAGTACTTTACTTTATCCAACTCAATCATCACAAGTGATCACTACACTGCAAAATCTTGTCTTAAAATAATCCATCAATGGTTTTGCTACCCATCTTGTCGACCTGTTCTTCCAGCTCCAGCATCATGTGCGATTTCTTCTTCTTACTCCCTATTTTTCCCAGCCCAATTCCCTTCACTCTTCTGCTCCAAGATTTTTGCTTTATGTCTTAACATGAAGCATAGTTCAAGGCATCGACGTCAAACCGAGGTAAACTTTCTGTTTGCTGACAATTTTATTATACTTCTTACGTTTCTTTCCATTTGTCCACAATCTTCCTTCTGCTTTGCATTTCCCTTGTTTCACCGAAGTGGAATTGCAGAGAAGTTGGGCTGAAATATTGTGTTTCGGTTGCACGTGCATACAGCTTTTCTGGCCGCGCGTGGTGGTGCGCAAGTTGCTCAACATCAGCGCCAAAGATTCCGATTACAGCGCCGATACCGAATCAGATTTCGACTCTGATATCGATCAAGGTATCTTTACCTTTTCCGTTCTATTCAGTCGATTCCTTATTGATGTAGAAATTATCCTGCGTACAGTCAGTCTGACTTGGTGTTTGGAATTCAAGCTGGCTTTGTGGATGCCTGTAAGTGGCCACCGGAGTCGCGGTTTAAAGATGTGAGAGGAGATGAAGTTGGAAGTGATGTGAACGGTAAAAGCTAATATGAACATCTTAAGTTTAATTTTGTTCATAAAAGCTTTGTGATTTAACCTGAGGTATTCAAGTATTGAAATGGCGGATTATAAGGTGGTAATCCTTTTATATATTTTTTGTGAAGTAACTAGTATCAATACTGCCAGAGCGTAGGTGCATTCCTATTTCCAAATGGAAAGGTTTTTTTGTCCGTTGCATGAAATATTTACTATTACTAGGGAATGGATCACCCTTACTCCACCGTAATGATGATGATACTAGGGAATGGATCACCAGGGATCATGCATCTTGTTCTGGCTATGTTTGTCTAGTAACTAATTTATATACTCTTTTCATTATTTTTTCCCTCTTCAAATTAGGCTTAGCGAAGGAACTGAATTTGTATTTGAGTTTAGTGCTAGTTAACATTAATCAGCCAAGCAAATGCATAGAGAAATGAAGTTCACCCATTGCTTACAGCTGTAATGTCGTTTCTAGATCAATTTATGCATATCTTCCTTTTTTGTTCAAGATGTATTTATTTGAAATATGAGTTTTATTCATTACAATTTGTGAGAATTGTTTTCATTGTACTACTTAGTGTGGTCATCACCTTGAACCATTTTACATGTCTATTTTGTTTGTATCTTCTCTCACTTTGAAGTTTGTTTTGGATCTCAGATACCGTTCTCGGGATAAGAAGACGAAAGTCGGAGACATGTAGGGCACAATATATAAACACCAGGGAAATTAAGTAAGAACACTTCAGGATATAACTCATATAAAGATATATCCAAACATTATCATTATTACATCGAATTGTAATCACTATGCTTCATTTTTCTTTACTAGAGTATGTGCTGGTACATGGAATGTAGGAGGCAAAGTTCCTCCAGATGATCTAGATCTTGATGATTGGATTGATACTGGCAATCCTTCTGATATTTATGTGCTTGGGTAAATACCAACTTTATTGAACACTTTTTTTATTAAAGATTACATATGAAGATTTATGAGGATATCATTTTGAGTTCATTTTCAATGACTTGTTGATTTATTCGGTAATTACCTAGAGTATATTCCCTGGATACAGTAGGTTTTCAAAACATTATCTCATATTGTTAATTTATGAGTGCTTTTCAATTTATACTGGATACTGCTTTTCAATTAATATCTACAGATTTCAGGAAATCATTCCATTGAATGCCGGTAATATATTCGGGGCTGAAGATAGCCGTCCTATTCCAAAATGGGAGAACATCATTCGAGAAACCCTCAATAAAATCCCACCTGTGAATAAGTTCAAGTCCCATAGTGACCCCCCTTCTCCATCAATGTTTAAGCCATCTGAAAGTTTTTCTGACATTGAAGAGGAAATTGCACCAGAGTTGGACAATGATGATGATGAGGAAAAGATTCCCTTGGATGAAGAATGTAATGAGTTTGTTGAAGCCAGTGACTTAACTATAACAGGGAATGATGCAGTTGCAAGTGCTAATGTATCTGCATCCAGAGGTAGTCTTGAGTCCACAGAACCAGTCAGAGCTGGGGTTGAGCGGCTATTGTCATCTTCAAAGAGGCTGGATAGATTGAATTGCTTTAGACTTGAAGGCTATGAAGAAAATTTAGAAGAAACTAGTATTCATCATGCCAAGAAATTAACCAAAACCCTTAGCGGAATACAAAAGATTGGCCTGAGTTGGCCAGAGCAGCAGCTAGATTTTCTACCTCACTTTGCTTTAGAGAGACCGGGTTCCTTTAAATCTACGAAATCGCTTAAGGCGTCCATGTCTTTTGGAGAATATTGTTCTCTCATATCAACCACACATGGTCAAAATAAAATGCAACCTGATGCATCTTTACTTGCAAAGCTGGACCTCAAATATTTAATAAAGCGTAAAAGAAAGACACCATATGTGAGGATAATAAGCAAGCAACTAGTTGGTATTTTCTTAACTATATGGGTCCGTAGGAGTTTGCGGAAACATATACAGAATTTGAGTGTTTCTACAGTTGGTGTAGGCGTAATGGGCTACATAGGCAACAAGGTTTGTTCTATTCCTAATTCTTTTCTTTCTTCTATGCATGTTTTATATGATGTAGTGTGGTATCAAGTTTTTGTTTATGCTGATGATTAGTTACTGAATCATTGAGGTTTTGCATAAATGTTTTGTCACAAAACATTTTGCTTCGTTGTTTCTTCTGTTTCACACAGTAAACATGATGCATTAAGACACTGAATGAGCCAATGTTCTATAGCAAATTGTGAGAGCAAATTGTGAATGCCTATTTTTAGTGAATGATTCACTAGTGAAATTTGTGAATGACTATTCCTAACACTCCCTCTGTCCCGAAATTAACTTCCTACTTCGACCTTCCACTTTTTAGGTGGAAAAAAAGTAAAAGTTGAATTTCCAGAATTATCCTTGATATAGTAAAGGGAGAGTAGTAGTCCAAATAAAGTAAAGGAGGCAAATGAATAGTAAAGTAGGGGGAAAATGGGTACTTTTACAGCAAAAGCTTACCAAATTAAAGTAGGAAGTTAATTTTGGGACATCCCAAACAGTAAAGGTGGAAGTTAATTTTGGGACGGAGGGTTCACCATTAGACTGACCTTATTTATAATAATGTAAAATGAGAATGAAGAAGATAAATCTAACATGAATGTGTAGCTTACGGTATGTGTGTGGTAATGCAATAGTTGAAAAACAAAGTTCACACTGCGAAAATAAGGTAGGAGTAGCTGCTATTTGAATATAAAGTAAAGCTATAAAGGAGTTCAATGAATTTGTGAACTTAGTCATGTTTGTCTTTTTTCGTGAAGAAGTATGTGTTATAGTATGGAAAGTAGCTTTTTTAGAACACTAGAAATGTAAAAAGTTGAGTGACACCGAATTTTTCATGCATTGAAGGTGTGAATAAATTCAGAGTATGGTCTTAATTAACACACAATTCTTGACAGAAGAGAGTGAAAAATTAGGATACTTCTGGATTACTCTTTGAGATTATTCCTTGGATTATATAATTGACACCACTGGTTCGGTATCAGTGCTCTATATTGTTATTGTTGATGTATATAATCTTAATTCCACACAAATGAAAAGATGGTGCCAAACAGGGGTTGGATGGGAAGTGCGGTAATGCATAAATAGACTTGGGAGATCATACTTTCTCAATGTGAAAATTATCAAGCTTATATTTGTTTTGATAAATTAGGTCAGCGGTTGACCTGGAAAGATGTTTCTAAATTTCAACTTTTTTAGAAGTTCTTTTCCCTTCTTATTCTTGGAATCTCCTAGAAAGACAGAATATGCCCGGTGACATCTCTGAGTTTCCGGTGAACCTATACTTCCCAGCAGGGGTTCAATGAGCTTACATAAGTGATATGCAACTTCACTGACTTGGTCCGTTCCTGTGGTCTACTGTGATGGATGATGGATCAACCATTTGAATTGATCATTTAATATGTTTGTGTATGTGTTTGGATTTCAATGTATCCCATATTAGAAAGATCACATCTCTATTCTCATGATTTGATATGTGTTTTTGTATAACTGCATAAATATATACGTACAATATTGGTGCATTATCTTCTGAGTGACAATGCAGGGTTCTCTAGTAAATATTTTCTAAAATATGCTTGATAGCTCCAGAAACTCATAAATTTCTTGTTTACTTTCATAAGTTTCCACTTATTATAAAGTGCTGCTTGCAATTCTTTAACATGCCAATTATTCTTTATTCCAGGGATCAATATCAGTTAGCATGTCGATATACCAGACTCTCTTCTGTTTTGTATGTACTCACTTAACATCAGGTGACAAAGATGGGGATGCTGTCAAGAGACATGCTGATGTGAATGAAATTCACCGAAGGACACATTTCAATAGATACTCTAGTGTTGGCCTTCCTAAAAGTATAAATGGCCATGAGTAAGTATTTGAAACTTACTCCTAAGAGTATAAATGAATATGACTTGCAGAGCTATATAAAACTCTCCAAATCCTTGTAATTTGATCTTAATGAGAGTCTGCAAGATATCCTTTGTGTCAAAACCTTTTTTAGAAGTTCACTTATTTAATGAGAACGCACAAATTAAAGCAAAATTTCATAGTTAACTGAACTGCTTTCCTCCAATTTCTTACAATTAACAAATAGCTTATATTGTGGCAGGAGAATAATCTGGCTTGGGGATTTAAATTATCGTATTAATTTATCGTATGAAAAGACACTGGGGCTAATATCCAAAAAAGACTGGCCTAAGTTAATTGAGAGTGATCAGGTAAGTATGGATAGATTTCTTATTAATCAAATTTCCTGGAGCAGTAACTAAACAGTTCCCATAGATGTGTAGTCATACATGATTTATGTTCTGGCTTGAAGAATTTGAACTCTTTTTTTGCATCTTGGGATCAGAGGAGACAAACTCTCATTGGTCATGGTCCAGCTGTGCATGTTGATTTTACAAAGTTAATCCTGTAATTGTGCATGACTATAACAACTACTCCAACTCATCACCGTCTCATGATTTTTCTCTTATGGAAGCAGAAAAACCAATGACCAAGACATATTGGAATTTTGATTCATTATTTCTTCATTAGAAGGTTCAAGGTTGCGGCAGGAATGACCTTAGCATCAAACATTTATACTATGCTTTTCTGTATGAGTTTTTAGAGTCAACTAATTTTAGATAATTAATCCACACTATAGTTACCATGCAACCAGCCCCAACATGATTGAGGTGATGCTGACCATCTAAGAACTTCATCTTCTTATTTTAGTTTCATATCTGCCAAGATAGGTGTCTGTTATAACTTATAAAGAAAGTACTACCTCCGTCCCATTCTATGTGTCCTACTTTGGTTTGACACAATTATTAATAGTGGTTGAAAAAGTAAAATTTATGGTGAAGATTTGAGTATAATAAAGTGAAATGTTATAGACCATATATTTCTCTCCAAAAAAAGAAATGTGACACTTATTTTGGGACAACCCAAAAAGTAAAGGAAGACGGATAAAATGGGACAGAGGGAGTAGCAGCTAAAGTTCTGTACATAATTGCTATATGCAAGGCCATCCAACCTAATAAGGCTGTTAGTAATCAGTAAATATAAAATGAGGAAAAGGAATTCTTTAACTATATTAAAGAATTAAAAATCTTCGAATAAAAAAAAGAATTGAAAATCTTACCTTTGGTCCTTTGATTGTTTCGCGTTACACACTGTGACATCCATCTTTCAATCTATTATATGGCCTCTGAATTGTATTTACGTAGTAGTTTGCAAAACCCCTGTCTCATGTCTTATAGCTAACACATGATAATTGAACTAAATTTACATCAATGAAGAGAATTTAGGAACCACATTTGCAAAAATGTTGATAGACAGATATCATATGACAAAATGTGCAATTATAAATTATTATCCTTTAGAAAGAGTTAATTAGAAAACAGCTTTCTACTAGCTGGAAACTATAAATGTATCTATTAACTACGCTCTTAATATTCCTCATCTATTTTTATTACAAGTATAATACTTGTTTACTTAATACATCATGATAAATGTTTGACACTTCGTGGGATTCCAACTTCTTTTCTGTGAATTCAGTTCAGCCCACTTCCCTCGTTTTTGTTTATTTATAAGAAGAAAACTGGCTAAAGTGTCATTATACTTTTACTGCTTCAGTTTTCACTTTGGAACCTTCTTTTTTAAATAGGGGTCAAAAGATGTAGAACACAAAAGTATGGTTCTTGCTATTGTGATAAACATACAGATTGATACTCTTACAGCTGATCAGAGAGTTCAAGAAAGGACGTGCTTTTGATGGATGGTCTGAAGGTATTTTGAATTTTCCACCTACATACAAGTATGAAATAAACTCAGACAAGTACCACGGGGAGGACCCGAAACCTGGGAGGCGTACTCCAGCATGGCAAGTATCTCAGGCATTGGCTTTGGCCTTTGGGTCGTACAATGATTCCTTTAAAATTGCTACATGATGACAACTTGTTTTCTTTTAATAACTTTTATCAGGTGTGATCGTATTCTTTCATCGGGGAAGGGAATGCGCCTCCTGAGCTACAGGAGATCTGAGATTAGACTCTCTGACCACAGGCCGGTGGCAGCCACTTATATGGTAGAGGTTGAGATATTCTCAGCCAAGAAATTGCAGCAGGCCCTTGCTTACACTAATGCAGAAATTGAAAACGAGGAGGTAGTAACGTCGGATGTTGGAATTGTGAACAGAATGTGCCAATTGAACACAGAAGAGGTATTATTGTCTGTATTTCTGCACCCAACCCCACCACACCCCTTTATCTTGATTGTATTGGTTCTGATTTAATGCAATAGATTATTTTTGACATATTTTTTTGGTTGGGTGATGAAGGACGCTTTATTGTGGAAGCGCTAAAGAGGGGATAACTTTGGAAGAGGAAAATATATCAGAAACTGAGGGACATCCCACACTGTATAGATTAGTACTGCTGCTACTGCATTTGCTCTTAGGATATATGGTTTCTTTTTGTTTACATTTTGACAGTACAATAAATTTTCTAGGCTTGATCTTAATATTATTTGTTTAAAAGAAACAACAGTTGTGTATAGGTTTTCTCTTTGTCTTGCATATCAGAGATACTCTTTCCTTGGCTCAATCCCAATTTTTTTGTTTAAATATGTCCGATGATTCCAGTTTTCTCTTTGAATCCAACTTGTCGCATGATGATTATATAGTTCATAAGCACATTAGCAACTACTCCGTATAAGTTTTACACATCCAATTATGACCTATTCACGCTTGTAGTGAGGTTGAATGGAACAATGCTGCACAATTCCTCAACACTAGACGCATAAAAGTATATGGATTCTGAGGTGACTGTACTTTGAGCTAACATAACCCTCCACCATCAGCATCATTATCATCATATCGTCACAGGCAAGTGCTACAAATCCTTGTCTGGCAGACTACCGTCATAGGAACCTGTTTGTTTACCAAATCACAAGCCCTTTGTTTCCATCATTTGGCCAAATTGTGAATGACAACAAAATAAAAGGCATCCAAATTCATCTCTGGCAAATTGATACCTCAATCCGTCCTTTGAAGTTGCAACAGCTTAAAAAAAGCACTTCTCGGCTTTTGGCTTAAAAAAACACTTATTTACCAAATACTATCAATTTTTACTTTTCTCGGCTTTCGTGTGAAAAGTGTTTTTTCCTTTTCTATTACATAAAAAACACTTATTTTCCCAAACACTACTAACTTTTTCTTTTCAAAATCATTTTTTTCTCAAACACTATCAACTTTTACTACTAATTACTTTTTCGAAATCACTCCAAAAAGTGCGTTTTTAAGCAGATGTTGTTTCAAACATTTCTAAGGTAACTACTTCCTTTAACTGTCAAGATCAAGGGAGGATCTATGTATGGGCTATGGTGGGCTGAAGCCTAGGGCAAATAAATTATTTTCAAATTTTTTAGTGTAAATTTTTTTATATTTTTCATATTTAGCTCACCCCTATAATGTTTAAGCCTAGTATAATTGTTATTCAGCCCAGGGCATTCCGAATTCCTGGATCCGCCCCTGGTCAAGATTACGACTCCGGACCCAGCCCTGGGTTGGTTTGCATAGAGAGCATGCTGCGTCTGCAACTGCATCAGTTATCAAAGCTGTCTTGTTGGTACACACCACCAAAGCTAATTCTATAACGTTTCATCGAGCCAGTGAAATGTTAGTATACGCAGGCGGGTGTAGTTGCACTGCTGCAACATTATATATATTTTTTTAAAAATAAATAAATTTGTGAACCAGTTTGCAATGAAAATTATAATGAGTATCTCATCAGATCAGTACAATGTCAGTTTGAACATCATCATATCACTACTGCACCCAAATTCGAAAACCAACTCTAGCAGTCTAGCCCGCCTCGAAAGATGTTACTCGTTTGGTTTTTCTTTTTAGACGGCTTGTAAAATTAGTAAATTAGTCGAACCAAACTTGATAGTTCAGGCTCACTTACACTCTCTAAAATCTATAACTCGGCCCAGACCGATAAAAACCCGAAACTATTACCTATTTACCTTTAATATAAATTAATAGAATATTTTAATATAAGAATAACTAATCATGGTGGATGGAAAAGTGAAAAGTGATATAGTAACTTTAAGTGACTATAATCTTAGTGAGCATCACTACCAAAAAAACATGGGATTAGCGGAGACTTTGGCAGGGATACGCCAAATTCGTGCCAAAAACACTTTGACACGAAAAACCGATAAATTCGTACTAATTTTGCGCCAATCTCGTAATTTTTGGCGTGTCAAATTCTGCGCCAATCTCGTAATTTTTTTGGCAGGGACTTTGGCGTGTCAAATTCTGCGCCAATCTCGTAATTTTTTTTGTAGTGCATGATAACATAATCATAATAAATAGCTACATTTTTTTCATAATTTTTGTTGAGTAATTTTTTTTTTGAAAAATCCTCTATTATTTAATTATTCATATGTATCTTAAACACAATATTAAGATAAATTGTTTTGTTTGCATGGATTTGAATTGTTGGTGTTTTTGAAGACTGATATAAAAGGACAATGTGATGATTTCTCAAATGATGATTTCTCATTCGGGTTTTAATTAATCGTACTAAAACTGGGCTACCAAAAACTAACTCGGAAATCTTATGAATAATTGTTTGAGTTGAGCAAAAACTTGATTGACTGGACCCATCTCACTCCTAGCCAAGTATATACCTGCTCATCGGCAAAAAATGACTAAGGCATTGTTTGCAACAAGTTAAAAAAAAACACTTCTCAGCTTTTGGCTTTAAAAAGCACTTATTTACCAAACACTACCAATTTTTACTTTTTCTAGGTTTGCGTGTGAAAAGTGTTTTTCCCTTTTCTATTACACAAAAAGCACTTATTTTACCAAACACTACCAACTTTTACTTTTCAAAATCACTTTTTTCTCAAACACTATCAACTTTTACTACCAATCACTTTTTCCTTACATCTCCAATAGTGCTTTTTTTTAAGTAGGAGCAGTTGCAAACCCTCCCTAAAAACGCGGGCAAGAAACAATTTCTACACATTGCAGAAATTAATGTAAATGGTTACACGGTGAACGAGTAAGATAGGTTGAGAGTTACGAAAGGGGAGGAAATAGCATTGAAAAAACTCTCAAAGTCAAAGTCAAGGGCTTGAAGAGTTCGAGGAAAATGCCACTCTTACTAGTTACTACAAGCCGTGAACTTGTGAATGTGCTTTGAGTTATTGGAATTTGCACCGAAACCGGGAGAAATATGCTCATGTAATTCAACCTGTATGATAAGCATCAATAATTGATTCATCAATACACTTCGATGATGATTCTTTATTGTTCACAATCCAATGCGTTCATGTCAAGGTAAAGAATGTATCACAAATAAAAATGTTTAGCCCTTATACACACATGTATACTACGTGTGTGTGTATATAAACTAATAAAGAGAGAATATTGAACACAGAGAGTAACAGCTTGCATGTACTACCATTCAACATGCACCTAGCCACCTAACTTGATTAATTATGATGTTTTTACTTCCACTATTTTTAGTCTCAGATCAGACTAGAGCAGACTAAACTTGGATAGTTATAAAATGAATAGAGCAAACAGACTTGACCAGACCGGCTAATTATAAGACCAAATCAGACTAGAAAATTCCAATCCAATTAAAATCATCACGACAATTCTTAAATGTGATCATGCACGCTTCTTTCTTAATACATGACTAGACACTACATATTAAGTGAAGTATAAGAAAAAGATTGAGAACTCTAGATGGTGTGAATACATTTTATGTGGCATCATATTAGAAAAAAGATATATGCACCCTTCTTTTATAATCCTGCTGTTTATGCTCACCCAGGATTTGACAAGATGAAATTGATGATCAACCAAGCTAATGTTATACAAGCACTGTCCACCGTACATATACTACTGATGAGTTACCATTTGTTGATGGTGACAACTTCAATTCGGTACCCATTTAAAAAATGAGATATCGTACCTATCACTCATTTGATTGGTCTAAGACATTATAATACCTAGTTTTCATTTAAATAATTCACATGTCATATTTTTGACATTTTGATTGGTCTATGTTGAAAAAGGTATGATACTTTATGGAGATCATATAATCTATCTTTGTTGATATCAAAATACTAGCTCATGATATTCACACAAACCTGATGGTGGGTGTATAGCATTCAGTTTGGTAGTAGTGGTCTTACTTTCCGTAGGTCTTTCTCCAATACCAGAATAAAATGATGAAAAAGATATGCCCCATAAATAAGACTAAATCTAAACCTAGGATGTATGTAGCACGAAATTTTTTGGGAAAGAGTACGTTTCCTGTTTCGGAAACTCTCAGAAACTCTTTGGAAACTCTCCAAATAAGCGTTTTTTGAGTAAAAGTTGACCTTTCCTGTTTCCCGTTCGTGATTTTCGCGTTTCCATGCAACATAGTTTAGGATGTTTTTACTTGGACTAGAATTCACTAGTTTGGTCGGGTAAATGTTTGGTTTCTATGTATTTTTTAATTGTCTAAGTCTGGTTTATTTTGGTCTGATCTGGTCTGGTATGATCTGGGGCTGAAAACAGTCCAAGTAAAAACATCCTTAATTGCACAAATAAGAGTAAAATCTAAATCTTCCCTAAATATGATTAAACAACAATTTTCTACTTTAATATCTATAATAAAATTAATTAATATAATTAATTGTCCTCTTTCGTCTTCAGGCTAGAGGTGAAGCCGCTGTGCCAGTTGGGGATTGTCAAAGGGAGAAGGCCTATAGTGATTTGAGAAGCACTAAAGCAACGGATTTTCAGAATACTTATTTGGTTGAGTATTGTGGTCTTTCTCTCGCTTGTCGAGAGTTAGGGTTTTTCTCTCGCGGGTCGAGAGCGGTGCAAGCAACACTGATGAAATGGTTAGCAACACGGGGGGGGGGGGGGGGGGGGGGGGGGGGGGTGGAATTGTGTGTGTGGAACCGTGACAATTTTTCACCCAGTTCGATCTAGTGTGGGGTATAGGGTATTGTAAGAATATAAAGCACACAAGGATTTAACAAGGAAAAATCCCTTGGCTCAAAGGGATTAAAAAACCTCAACCTCCCTCGGAGGAATTTTAACAACTTCACTAAAAAGCCTTTTGTGGTTACAAGATAAATTCTCCTATTCTACCCTTGAGCCACCCCAACTCTATCCTCTAGGAAGAGTTATGCTTCTCTACCTTGCGAGTAGAGAGCTTCTCAACTTTACAACAAAGCTCACACTCACACAAGTCAACCCGAGGTAGCTACACTTGACCAATCCTCAAAACCTAATTACAATATGAAGGAAAAAGTAACTCTATCTAGAACTCTTGTTCAGCAGGTTCAGGCGCCTTGGACTTAGTAATTCTTCCGTGGATATCTCTCAATAATAGATCGGTCAAGCACACCCTTCTTTTTCTTGATCTCGGCATATATCAACTATTTTGAGGTCATTCGTTGTGGCTTTCTTCCTTGAATGATTGAGCTTCCAAACTTGGAACTTCCCTTGTTATAATTTGAAAAACCTTCGTTCTATATTGATCATCTTTATTCAAACTCAATGCATAAGGCAATCAAACTAATATTCATGAAATTTATTTACTCATCATATATATTCATGCAACGGATCATATATGGGTTATATTTCAAACAAGGATGACTTATTCAAAACCGAGTAGC